TTGTTTTTTTTTCGCCATTTAAGATACGCTGCCCTACAGTCACTCTATTTTTTGGTTGTGTGTTCCAGTTTCCAGATCGACTGGTTCACTTTGAAATGTTCGAAACTTTCATCTTCCAGCTTACTAGTCAGTATAATTTCCATGAATCGGAATTTCTTTTTCGATATTTTCCTTAACTGCCGGCAATAAAGTGTTCGTGGATCGGTTTGGCACCTCTACAAGGAAACATTCGTTCGCCAGGCAAACTCCACCGAATATCCATTGTTGTGGTAGAATACGACCCGCATTGTTCTTTCGACTTCGTAAACAAGCTTTCGTCCACTTCGACGATCATGCCAGGTCCTCCTATTTTCGTTGTTCACATTTAAGTAAAGAATTCACACAAATCTCATGCAACTGTTCCGTGTCTGATTTCCAACTGCTTTTCACACCATTTAACTAAGGTTAATTCTTCGCTCCAACAATAAATAAACTCTTCAAAAAGCTCAATTTCGATTACTGAAACCATGTGCCTTGGCGGATACTTCTTTTACAGAGGACAAGATGAAAGGTTGCAACGCCATTGAATTTCATTTTCTATATACAATTTCATTTCATGATCGACTCTTATCAGAAATTGCGATTTAAGCCAAAACACCTTTCTCTTGAAAGAATCTGACAGCTTCTTTTTCTGTTTTGGGTAAATGCCAAATTTTCATTCTTTTTGCTTAAATTTTTCGAATTAGGAAAAAGATGTGACTGATGAGGAAAAGATGGCAGTGACTTGCTTTGAAAATGTGCAGGCAAAAGGATACCAGAAGCGATATTTCGGCTTTGGTTGCATCATTATTGGCGGCTTTATCCCCTTCGCTGGTATAATGGAAAAGTACCATATATATATATATANCTATTGCATAGAATATTGTAATAGGGATAGGGTAATATTTTTTTAACATTATATACAATGAGTGATCAAATGAAAAGGTACGAAACGACGTAAAAACGCAACAGTTAAATATTTGCATATTCCACCATGGGAGAACGTAGCGAAACATCTCGGGATGCAATTGAGGGAACGTAGCGAGACATCTCGGCATGCGCAGAGGCTCTTATTAAAAGTGGCGTCCAAATGATGCGGTAGTCCGTATGAGGACAGGATGGCGTTCGCATTGCAAAATTCGACGATTAAGGAGCAGCGAGGTGTTATCCGATTTCTGACAGCGGAAGGTGAGAAACCGGCAGCTGTTCATCGCCGGATGGTGACAGTTTACGGGGAGAAATAAGTCTCTGACAAGTCTGTCAGAAAATGGAGTGCCCGTTTTCGTGCAGGCCGTGAGAGTGTGGGTGATGACCCGAGACCAGGAGAGGCCAACACTGTCATCACGAGCGATCTCATCGACAAGGTGGACGACCTAGTGAGAAGTGATGTTGGCGGTGAAGGTGGATGTCAGCTATGGAACCGTGTGGACAATTGTTCACGACAGGTTGTGAAATCGGAAGGTGTGTGCCGCTTGGGCCCCGAAGCAGCTCACCGGCCAGCAAAAGGAACTGCGCATGGGGCTAGCACTGCAACATCTGTTTCGGTATCAGGAAGACCCCGCTTTCTTGGAGCGGATCGTCACAGGTGATGAGACCTGGTACCATCACTACGAGCCAGAGACAAAGCGGGACAGCATGCAGTGGAAGCAGGCGTCGTCACCTCCCCCTAAAAAGCTCAAAGCCGTACCGTCAGCAGGAAAGGTGTTGCTCACCGTATTTTCGACGTTCAAGGTCCGCTACTAGTGGAATTCCTCGAGTACAGAAAAACCATTAACTCCGATGCGTACTGTGAGACACTCCGACGCTTACGTAGGTCCACCAAGAACAAAAGACTGGGGCTGCTCAAGCAGGGTGTGGTTCTGCTCAATGGCAACGCGCATCCACACTTCTCCAGAGTCGCACACATGGAACTGGCCAAGTTCAAGTGGGAGACGTTGGACCATCCGTCCTACAGTCCGGACATGTCACCCTGCGAATTCCATGAGTTAGGTCCACTGAAGAAACACCTGAAAGGGAAACGCTTCAACTCGGACGACGTACTCAAGGACGCTGTGAAGGACTGGATCTCGTCACGGCCACAGGAATTCTGGGAACAAGGAATCCTGCGGCTTGTTCATCAGTGGGATCGTTGTGCTCTGGCATATGGTGTATATTTTGAATAAAGTCTACATTTGTACCCACCGTGTCGTTTCGTACCTTTTCATTTGATCACCCATATATTTATAAATTATCTTCATTAAGTCTCTTTTTCTTTCTACAAGTAGTGGCCTATTTCTCCTTTTTTTATTTAATTATTTGGTTGAAATATGTTGGTAGCTTTATTTGGTGTATAATAATAATAAATAAACGTTCTAAATCATTGTCGAATATCCTTAAAATTGACCGGAAATTTTTAAAATTTCGCTACTCACCCTGATTAAATATATTCGCGAACAACTTACATATAATATAACTGTTTTAATGAATCTGTTCAACGCACAGTGATTAAAAACCGGAGTTATACTGAATATTTTTATATTACAGAGTTAAATACAGATTTTCTTTTATTAAGGTGCCATATATTTGATTCGAAAAACAAACTCTAAATAAAAAAAAAGAAGGAAGAAAAGAAAAATTAGTTAAGGGTAATGATACAGTTTTTTTTTCCAATTATTTTTTTAAAACTGTGAGTACTCAAATTCTTTAATTTTCAGCTGATTCACTTAAAATAACAAAGTTAGTTCTCATAGCATCCATCTAAAGAAGCTAATGTTCATTAATTAGACAAACATGCGTCAAAATATTTAAAAATTTAATCAACTCAAACTTTACATGTAATTTGCATGCTGTACATACGACAGTTGTTTAAAATATTAAGTAATAAAAAAATAAAAAAAAGAAAACGCTGCTCTCAACTTAAACTTAATAAGTAATTTGTATGTTATCAAAGTCAATTAGAAAAATTAATTCACTGAATTTCATTTATATATCTTAAACAGTCCTTTTTGGGGGGGAACAATCACAGTGGTATAAGAAAAGTATGGAATCAAACATAAAAACTAGATTTCAAGTTATTAAATAATAGCTTTCACAAGCAGTTGCTATTTGTTTATATAGATCGATTGCGGCGTGATTAGTTATTAAAAAGTTATTTTTCCCTTGAATCACTTAAAATATGTTACTGTTTAAATATATCTTTGCTTTGTGAACTGCACTAACAAAAAATTAAAAATCACTATCGATGTTTTTAATTTAAACTGCAATTTGCTGGAATTATCCAGAACATTTTTTTTTAATCTTTGTAATTATGAAATTTTAAATGCAAAATTTAAAAAAAAATATTTTTGAATAATTTGTGAGAAATAACTATTTAAAAATGAGCCATTTCAATAAAAGTAAAAATGAGCTATTTGAGAATTTTTTTTCCTCTGAATTTTTCAACTGAAATTGGCGATCGAAATGGGCTGCAGGTGGCGTAGAGCAGAACTCTTTTCCTATGGCAACACTTCACATGCTTTCCCCATTAGCGTGTGGAAAGTCATAGAGGAAGGAAGTACGTTAGTTTCTCTCTTGATTTTCATACAGATTAAAATCCTCTAACTTGAAAAACTATATGGAACTGAAAACTACATTAAACATAGTTCTAAAGAAAAGTATCACGGAAATTTTAGAAAATATTTTGATTAAGTGAAAAGGAAAAATATTAAGAAATGGGAAAATATTGTAGTACATTCCTATATAACTGAAAAGAGGAGGAGAGGGAAGGGAGAAGGGCTAAAGGCATGAAACCGGTCTCTCCCCAGATGGCGTATTCGAGTGTTGCGATCGCGAATTAGCAACTGAATTTTTCAACTGAACTTTTCAAAATTAATATTTTTGCTTTTTTAATGATGTCTAAATTTAAGTCTCAGAAATTTTTTTTAAAGAAGTAATTAAAATATATTATTAACTTAATTTTTTTAAATGTTAGGTAAAATAAGTTTTATAATTTTGCTTACAAATGATTACTTATGAAAATCACAACATAGTTTAATTGTGATAAATTTTTATGGTATATATTTCTGTCTTTCGTTGTTTATTCCAAATTTTCATGAAAATGGAGTTCTTTATTACGAAAATAATTTTGAAATGATCTAAATTTTCACAAATTTCAATGCAGATTTATTTTTCTTTTTTAAGGGAAAAAGAAAATAAACTCTATAACTACAGAGTTTTTCCTTTTTCTTTTTTTATAAAATTATACTGCCTAATAAATTTTAAATAAAATGTTAGGTGCTTAATATTTATGAAAAAAAATTTCGCATTTGTTATATATATTTTCTTATTTTAAATATATTTAATACCGAATTATAAATCGAATTAATTCGATTTCAATAATAGTAAAACAATTGTTTTGCAGGTAACGAATAAAATTTAAATTTCCCTCGAAAGCAGCAGTTGGGAAAAAAAATATTTTTGATGAAGGTTTGATGAAATAAACAATAGTATTAAATTAAAAACATTTGCTTTTTACAATGATATCCGCCGCAAAAGTGATTTACTACAGAAAGCACGAACTACTTTTTTGTAGTTATTTAGCTTCGAAAAACTCGTGAGTAAGCCACTGTAAGACAATTTAAGGATGTAAATTTCATACAAACACGATCAAATTTACTTGAAATGTATCGTTGATTTCTTTTCCGAGAATTGATTCCCCCTCCCCTGTTTTATTTAAATAAATATAAACAGGTACAGGAAAAAATAGTTTAATTCGAAAGTTACGCTGGTAATAATGATAAATATGTGATACAGTTTTATGTTCCCATTAAAAAACTGGCATCTTCAAAAATAATTACTTGAAAATTATGTAAAATTCCTGGCGCTATCATTCTTGTTTACCTCTCTACCTGCTTTACTTTCTTTAGTAGTAAATATTTTCAAACCTAGATGTCGCAGCAAGTTAAATGAACGATATTTTGTGGGCTTCTTGGTTTAAATTTTAAATCTCTACTAATCTACAGAAATAAGCCGCCGGAAGCATGCAAGAGTCAAACAAGTAAACAATCTTGTATTTCCAAGATGTCCTTGCCAATAAGTCGCAGAATAGTTCAACAAATTTCGAATAATTATAAATGTATTTCTCAATGCTATAGTTCATCTCTAACAAAAACTCCAGACACTAAAGTTACACACACTGGACAGGTTTCATATTCCATATTAATTCATTTATAAGTTATGATGTGTAATATTATTGAATGGGACTGATAATTAAAATTTCAATGTTTTAAAATAAGTTGTTTTAACGTTTATAAGTATGCTATTTATTTTAATATGTATTTTTGTTTCAGAAATTCAGTGAAGATGATCAACGGATGGTCCGTTTTCTTAACAGAGAGAAACAGGTAATTGCGAGTAACCTAAATACTATTGTGAACATTTGCACGTATTTTTATTTACAATAGGATAAGAAATATCATTCCTGATCATTATTTTAAACTTAGTTATCATGTACATATATGCTTTTGTGAAATAGTCTGTTGTTTAATAAATAGTCGCTTTAGATTGGTCAATTTATTAACTGTAGGTATATATAAAGCGTTAAAAAATATTGCACATATTTTTGACTTCTCTTTCAATATAACCGCAATTTTAATTTTATCGAAGAGGTTTTAGATTTATATGATATTGTTAAAACATATTTTACCTGTGTGCTTTTTCTCGTAATTTTTTAGCTTCTAATTTTTTTTTTAGTTTTAAATATAGATTGCAGTTGTAAATTCTGTAATTAAAAGTTTTTCATTAAACTGATAAATTAATAACTATCACAATGAAGTAATGTTTTTTTTGTGGTTAAGTTTGGAGAAATCTATATTTTGTCTATAACTATAAGATATATGCCTACTCATTTCATTGAAATAAGTGTAGTAAACAAGTATCATTGAAATAAGTTTTTTTTTCAGGAACATATGCAAACAATACTTAGTGTGTCCCGAAGAAATTTTTTTTTAAAAATTCAACCATCATATACCCTATTGTTCCCAATTAAGTGACTTGATTTAACTCATGATTTAAATCACTTGATTTTTTTTTAAAAAAAATCATTTATTTAAATTAATTGTAATTTCTTTTTTTTTTTTTTTTTTTTTTGATTATATTTACTGNTTTTTTTTTTTTTTTTTTTTTTTTTTGAGAAAATAACTTTAACCAACTGATTTTTCTTTAATCTTTATGTAAGTTAAACAAAATGTAGTTAGCTTTAACATTTTAGTTAGAGACATTAAGTATTGTGGCAGTATTATTGTTTTTAAATAATAAGTGCTCTTAATATATTTTATTGAATAATTAGGTTAGTAAATAAAAAAAAATCTGATTTAAATTAGATAGAGAATATTTCCTTATTGTGGTCTGCAAAACCAACTACAATCGCTAAGGTGCCCAATTGATTTTAAATGGAAAAAGTATAAAATTAAAAAAAAACATGTAGAGGTGTGCCTGGGGGTGGGAAGGGTTATACCCTTCAAGTTGGCTCCTTTCTGTGGTGTTCTTTTTTAGTTTCTCGTTGGCAGTTGCCTAGACTTGGCGATTATTCTTCCACAGATCATGATACCGAAATCTCTATATTAGATAAATCCATTTTTTTTACTTAAAAAAAAATCATAAATTTTGCCAACTTTGGTCTTATTTTTCTCATTGATTTCACTGATACATGATTTTTTGTAAATGTCCTCATTACATAATTCTTGATATTTTATACATTTTGCTGTATATATAGGACCAATTTATTTTTCTTTATCTTGGCAGAGTGTGTTGGACTTGTTCTCTCACAATAGTTATGATGCATAAAAATTGCTTTTTCACTAAAGAATACAACAATTTAAAATTGTATATGTGGTAAAAAGTAAAGAATTGTTAAAAGTTTATAAAGATTACTTGTTATGGAAGAAATGTATTGGATTTATTATTATATCATGTTACTCGGAACATACAAGATAACATGAACAGATCTTGCTACATTATGAGTTCATTTTATGGAAATCATGTGCACTACATTTACAATTTTAAACATATGTTTGAAAATTTTTGTTGTTGTTATTTATAACATACAAGTTGATACTTTTCAAAGTAAAACTATTGTATATTTATGAGGTATCAAGAATAATAGCTGTCAGTAGTCAATTTGTGAAATCTTTAGAAATTTTTATTAATTTATTGTTTGTTTGTTTTTTCATCGATTAGCTGCAAAAAACATTGGTTTTGGATAAGGAACAAATTACTTTCAAAACAATATATTTAGCAAGCTGCAGACATATTTATATCACTTTATCTTTTCAACATTAAAATATTCAGTTACAAGATTATTCAGAAAGCAAGAATTTTATTTTTTGATTTCACATTGATTTCTGTATATTGTCTATTTGCTTTGCCTCGTATATTTGTCATCCATTGTGCAAAATTGAAGTTGAAAAGAAAGTGAGTTGATTCCATTTGTCAATCTCTTTTTTTTTTTTTTTTAACTCATTTGTAAGTTAAAGTTAATTAATACACTTTATTGAGGGAGTTAATTTTGTATTGTTTCTTCTCTGTTAATATGCGTTGTTGTTAATAAGTGTTAACTTTAGTAATGTAGTATTGATGTAAAAAGTTATGTTGTTTTATAATAAGTACTCTCTTTTTACACAGCTATTGTCCAGATGTAATAATGATTTTTTGGTAGTTATTTAAACATTAGGTGAATGAAGATCACTTGACTGATATGTTTTTGTTATGGAATTTTATTTAATTACAATTTTATTCGTTTATTAAGTGTCATTTATAATTATTAGTTTATATTATCTATTCTGGTTGCAACATATTTAAGGCCCTCAAGCACACAATAAGTTGTTTTATTTTTCAATTGGTTTATAATTTTGTGTTTTTATTCACTCAAAATAATAAATGTTTGTGATATACTCAAATTTTGATTTTTACTAAAAAAAAAATACTAAAGGAACATCTCCTGGAATTATTTAAATTATGTTATTTTTTAAAATTGTTCAATATCTTCTTCATTCCATGTCTCAGTTTGAATTTTAACCTCAGGTCTAGAATGAAGAACAAATGGAATTAGCAAGGCTTCAATATAAACTTTTATATATCTTATATATAAATGAGTTAATGATACTTTTATTTGCCATCTTTGTGTTTGAATTAGAATTTTAGCTATTATTTCATTGTGAGACATTCTTTCAAATATGTATGTTTATTTTTACTTAAACTAATTGTAACATTGAAAATAAATAAATAAAAGAACTTTTTTGAGCTTAGAAAGAAAAAAAATCACTGTACTTATCGTCTACTGCCAAAGTTTATTACTTTTACTCGTATCTCAAATAGACAATACATGTATGGAGCCTTTTAAGTGTTTTGTTTTCGAAGTAGATATTTGTTAATACAAAGTTCACCCTGTTATATTGCTTATAGTGCAAAATTCCAGTTCCTTTGTGAACAGAGTTGTGCTGTTTTGAATCTGAACAAGTTTGAAGCAAATATTTATGATTAGGTTGATTAAGGGTTAAATTTACTACTTCACAAAATAAAAAATTCTTAATATTTCTGAGCATAAAATAAGAGTACATTTTAAAGCATTATTAAACTTATAAATAGTTGAATTAAAATGTAGATCAATTATTATTCTGCTCTTATTTAATGGATTATTTTTATTAATTTAGAAAAAAATTATGCTTAGTCATTTCTCGCTTAAGAAAGCCCAAGTGCTCTTTCTCAATTCTGATATTATTTTCTCTACAACCATGTAGCTGAAAATTGTATGAAGTTTTTGTTATCAGGACAAAATAATATTTGCTAAAGTTAGTGCGAACAAAACGTGTAATGTCCTAATACTATCAAATGTAGTTAGGTATGTTACTTTCAGTAGTAAATAAGTTTTTCTCAGAGTTCCAAAATATTATTGACCCATTAATCTCTAAAATACTTATTCTTTTTTGTGAATTTTTATAAAAAATTCTTTACTCAATTATTTCATTTTTTACACTTATTTCGATATAACAAAGACATTTATGTTCATTGAAATATATTAATAATATAAGCAGTTGTAGTTTGACCTGAAATTATGCATTGACAATTGAAATTAAAATAGTAGTTACAAATATTTGTGCTAATGCACTGTAGGTGAGGAATGGGTTGGCAGAAAAATGCTCCATGATATAATTAAACTGATTATTTAATTCAAATTCAATTTATGTTTAAGTTGGAGAATTTACTTTAGTAGACAATCATCCTCACTTATGTTTTGCATCGATGAATTTTTTTATGTTAAATAATTATTTGTTAGTTTTTACTTTATTTTTTAATTTCATTTCTTTTATTTAGGTTAACCCTCATTTTGCAATTGATTTAATCAACTCCATTCCTCCCAAACTAGTGAAAGAGAGAGTTGTAGCATGTGAAGGTGGTGGTGGTCCTCTTGGGCATCCCAAGGTTTATATTAATTTGGTAAGTTGCTCAAATCTTCACAAAATAAGCAATTTAAAATAAACTTTAGAATAAAAGTTAGATCTATGTGAAGAAGTTTTTCCATTTCTTTTTTTTATGATGGAAGTTTATAACAAATACATGCTCTACACTGTGCTTGGGAGGAATTGAAAGTCTACTGATGCATCAAAACAATACTTACTTTATTTTAGTTACAATGGCCATTATACAACTAAACAAAAGAAGACAATTAGAATCAGATCCCCATGATAGAGATGAGGAGATGCATGTCCAAACACAATAAAAATATTTTTAGTAAATTTCGATAACGGTGAGACTGGGAGCGAAATCCCCAGTCCTAACACCAAGAATTAAAAATGTTTGAATTGTTCCCAACGGACAATTTGGAGTATGAGAAGAGATCTATAGTTTGTAAATTATCAAAAGATAAAATACCCGAAAACAAAGCCAACTCTACGTAATTAATATTAAATTTGAAAGAATTTGGCTGTAGCTCAGTCGCCAAAAACATTGTGAGAATTAATATAACCCTGTAACTAAAATTTTTGTGATAAGAGAAATAAAGTAACTTAATAAAGAGTTATAGATAGATTTAGTTGTGACAATGAATTAATGAGTTTTACATTTGTATTGAATGCATTTATATTATCTGTTACATTGATTGCTAAAAAGAGAATAAAATATTTTGATTTGCTTTTTATAAAATGTAATAAAAATTAAATAATTGGTTTAATTTTATTAAAATTAGATAAAGAATGATTTAAAAAATGAAGTTAGTGAAATTAAAGACATTTTAAAAGCATGTGAGCATGTTAAAAGCATTGTGGCATTATAGTGGGCTAGAAATTGTGATTATTTTTTCATGGTAATTAAAGAAAGAATTGGCGTAAATTTGACAATACAAGATAAAACTATACTGGCATTTCACTATTTATTTAAGTTGCATTTATTTTTCATAAACATCAGCCTGACTCTCATGGAAGGAATTCTGCAGTCTGTGACAATTTTACTCTTTATTTCTAGTCTTCGTAAATCATGTTTTACAATACTGGTTAGGTTAAAATTTTTGTTAATAGTTATGTTGCATTGTTAATTTTTTTTTTATTTGCAATAAAAGTTAATTGTGAATGTAAACTGTTGTATTGTGTGAGGAAAAGTTAATCTAAAAATAGAATAATCAACAGTGACACTTCTGTAGAAGTTTATTAATTACTTTAAAAACTGTTTCTTCTTTTTTTTTCGAAGCTTTTATTCATTAATTAAAGATTGAATGGAAATTTTTTATTTTACTCTTGTATTCAGTCTCATAAAATTGAATCCAAGTTCATCTCTATTTAAGGGGGGATGATTTTGAATTAAATACTGTAAAAGCTTGATATATAATGAGAAGCCGACTATTGATCCAAATTTCCAAGCCTTTATAAAAATACTAGTATTAGAGATACAAAAATTATATGTTTATAAACAAGTAAAAAATTACTAGTCGGAAACTATTTAGGGCAATTTTTTGGAGGTAAATACATTTTTCTGCTGTTTTAGTGAACAACGTTATACAAAAAAGGCAAAATTAAGTCATTTTTATTTATTTCTGGTACACATGCAAAAAGGGGAAAACAAACTTCATTTCACCATATTTCCTTTTTACAATATTATGTTTTTCATAAACATAAAGTTTATGAAAAACACAAGCATGACGGCAAGTGGCGAAGATTATTTTTTATGAATTCTTACATTCTTATGAATGCAAATTTTATTGAACTCTTATCTTCCATGCCCACTTATATATCTCTTCTTGACAGCTTACTATTGAAATCAACATTTAATGTTATTGAAGATGTCAAAAACTATTTTACTTCATTTCATTTTTTTTCTTGCATCTCGCAAAACACTAATCTCAGTCTACAATAGTAAGCACTCCACTCTAGTTATGTACTTTAAGTCAAAATAGCTGTTCAAAATAAAAGGAAAAATTTCTTTCTTTCATTTTTTAGTCTTAGCTATTTTAACATTATGTGTATCTGCTTATAACAATACACTCGATATAATGACTATTCCCTCAGCTATAGTGAATTGTCATTTTAGTAGAATTTTACTGTATTTGAACTAGTTTTAAGTGACCCCAAAAATTATGTATTAAAGTATTTTTATGAATATTATACTATTTTGATGAATAGTATACTACTATTACATATTTGAGTTAAAATAAAAATTGATTTTCTTTAGAAGTTATAATGTTGTAATGTTTAAATTCCTCCTTTTTAATAAATATTTCTTGATTTATTTATAGGACGTACCTGGTCCCAAAGCATGTGGATATTGTGGCTTACGATTTCAGTTAGAAGGAGAGCATCATTAGAGTTTCACAAAATAACATTTAAATGAAATGTATTAAACTGTAGTTTTTTTTGAGTTTCAAGTAAAATATGTTGTTGTCAAAGCAGATTCTGATTGATAAATTATACGTATAAAAATTGTGCAACTTGGTCATAAAATAATTTTTGAAGTTTGTTTTAATATTGCATTTCTAAACAAGATGCTGTAGGTGGCAAAAGATTTCACCAACCACTGGAGATATAAGATCTGTGCTTGATTTTGATATAAAATATGTTTATTACCTTATTACACATAAGAGATATACTGGCAAAGGATATTAGATTTGTAAAAGTAGTATATTCTGCAATGATTTTAATATTTGAAAATTAGTTAAAAATGTACATTTAATCTTAGAATAATGAAATTTTCCCTGTACAGTAATATGCTTAGACAGTTAGATTTCATACAATTTAAAATTTTTGTTTCAGAAAATATTTCCCTTTAAATGTAATAATTCTTTTTAAACCTTTGCCTTTATGGTACAAGCATAATAAATTTGAACTTTTTCAAAAATTTATTTTTTTGTACAAAGTAAACAATTAACATTCAATATTTCGTGAAATATTAACTTATTTTTTTTCCTCGTTTAAATAATAACTATTTATCCATTATTGTTGGGGGAAAATTAACTCTCGCAATCTTCATTTTATTAGGTCACACTAAATTTGATGTCAAAAGTGAAAGAAATAATAATAAAAATAATAAGAGAGTGAAAGATAAGATGTAGCAAGATGTAAATCTTAACATTTGTATCTAAATTTTCAATGATATAAAAGGCACAGGAAAGATAAAAATAGTTTCTAAATAGAACTGCCCTGCAACATAAAGTTATCGTCATATAATGTTCCCGAGTAAAATGACTTCGAATTCATTACTTTTTATTATGTCACACATTCTGTACTTCAAAGTTTAAATTTCCTTTTTGATTACAGTTGATTATTTCTTAAATCCAGGTATCCTTTCATGTTGTTATTAAGATATTAACAAAATGTGCTTAAATAGAGTAATAATAAGGATATATTTTATAAACAAAATTATTTTTTTTTAAAATCGATTTTTAAAGAAAAAAACAATGACAAATAAGGAGTGAATACAAAGGTTGGTGAGCAGAGCCTCCCCATGCTGTAAAAAAATATTTTGGAATTATTTTGGCTACAAATCACTTTTTATATTTTTGAAGATTAAATATAGCCTTATGTTGAAAAATATGATGTTCAAGGTTACAAGAAAAAATTCTTGAAATTAGTCAACAAAAAAAATTTAAAAATATATAATTATTTTTAACATTTAAATAGCTTAATTACATAATGATTACTTTTTTCTTTCTAATGACACGCACCGAAATTAAGAAAACTCGCTTATAATAAAAAAGATTTAGAAATTTTTAACATACAAGCCACTATCTGTAGTCACATTTTATAAAATTGAGTCAAAAGTAAACCTTTACTAAAAAAAATTTCAAAAAAGTTTTGCATAAAAATTAAGAAATAGAGATAAAAAAAATTGCTTTTCTACTTTGCAGAAACTTATAAACATATCAACATCGGTACATTATAACATTACACATCAAGCTCCATTTGACACACCTTCGTACATATTTAGAATACTATGGGTATCCTAAAGTTCAAACTTTGTAAAATAATTTTAAGAAATTTTTTATGCACTTTAATCAATTAAAAAATAAATAAGAAATTTCTGAAAAAATTTAGATTGCTTAGTCTTTTAAGATTAAAAAATTAAGCAGCTATTTTTTAAAATAATGGTAGTTTTATGAGAAATAATAAGATAATTAACTTTTTAATAATATAGGATCAGTATAAATTTTTTTAACAAACTTTGGCATACTATAATTCTGAATGGAGATAAAATAAAAATAATGTTACATGGCAAATTACAAAACTTTTAATCTTACATACTAATAAACTAACAAAATCGTAATTTTTTAAACATAAAACTTATAACAATAAATTAAAATGCATTAATATGCTTGCTGTTAACCATGAGTTAACTTGTAATGGCTATTTACACATTATATAACAGTGTATATCACCAGAGATCAAAAATATATTGTTATTAAATGAATTTTGTAATAAAATATTTTTTTTTGTTGCTAAAATGTATTTTTTCCTATAGTATAAAAATAAATTTGTATTTTTATGTTATTAAAAATGCATGCAATGTAAAATTCTTAAAACAAATAATGGCTTATAAGTCATGACCAAACTCAAGTCTAGTTACCACTCTTAAATTTATCTACTGAAATTTGACCCATTGTGTCAATATGCATTAAAAATATCTTTTAATTAAAATTATAGTTTTTTAAAGTCTTATTTTTGGAGGTCAGTTGTTCGGGGTGTACTTACACATTTCTGAAAATAAGGTAAATAAAAAAGCAAATATTTTGTTTTGAGAAATAGTTCCCCCCTTTTAAATGGTTGAAAACATTGCTAGTTACATCTCATATTAAATCAACTTTCATTCATAAATTAGTACATCTCATTAGTTGCATTTTGATATTCCATGCTATAATTAACAAATTTTTTTTGTTTGAAAAAGTTATAGCAAAAAGAAAACTATCTTTTAGTTTAAAAATTTAATTGTTAAAAATGAAATTTTTTTGTCCAAAATTTTTAGTTTAGTAGCTTTAAATAAATTATTGACATTGTTTGTAAGAAATTCTTATTTACCCATTTAAAAATATTTTGTAGAAGAAAAAATGCAGGAGTTATAAAATATTTTCTTTATGCAACTTCCTCCATGAGAAAATTTATGGCAGCACTCTTTCATGCATTGTATAGTTGATAAGATTATATTTTCTTGTTTAGTTATGCATTAAATATTCATTATGATAGGAATGCTAACCATTAGCTTAAAAAAAAAAATTACAGTTATGGGTGCAATTTTTTTTAAAAATTGACTCTTCTCATTAAAGAAAAAATTAAAGTGGGCAGTGTGGAATGTTAAATGAAACTGAATAAATAAATGTAGGTACTGAAAATTTTTTACCTATTAGAATACAAACCAAATTATGGAAATTTGCAGGCTTACAATTAAAAAAGGTTTAAATTAGATTTATCCTAAAAGTTCGAAATTTCACAGTATCAATTAGTGTGCTAGAATTTTGAAATTATAAATATATATTTTTTTATTTGTCATCAACTTGTTAATTTTTCTTCTTTTAAACTATTTGTTCAAACTCATAAGGTGCATTTTATTGCAAACTGTAAACCCATTGCATAACAAAAATTTTCAAAACAAAATAGTCCCATTCTGATTCTTTGAGAAAGGCTGAAAATTAAATCAGTAACTTTTTGTTTCAGGGTATGACTGAAAAAAAAATTATGTTTGTACTACTTGTTAGTCTAATTAATATTCTATATGGTTCAGGGGCCACTTTTTGGCCCACGGACATAATACTTAACTAATGCTTAAACGAGCTTAGGCTAATGAAAATAAAATTATATTATTAAAATTTGGGTTTTATTGAATTTCTGTATTAAATAATTACGAATATAATTGAATAATACATTATAGCATTTAATTATTTATTTGAATGTTTATTGTTAAAAAGTAAACTGTTATTACTATATCCAAGGTTATCAATTATCCTATATGCTGAATTAAAAAATAATTTTAGGTTAAAAATTCCAATTTTTTTGATTAATATATCAATTATTAAGAATCATAAAATGTAAGTAACAGGCAGTTAAATCACACAAATTTTAATGAAACATTTTAAATTGTGAATTTTTAATTGTCCAGCAACTTTTAGCCGAGTAGACAAAGTAAATTTTTTTATTTATTCATTATCTGTATTAATTCAGTTAACTATAGAAAAATTACACAAAAATATAATTTGTGATGTAAAAAAATATATCATACTAAATTCTAAAATATCATATGTTGATCCTATTCGCATGCACCTCCTCTGAGAGATTTACTCTACAAATTTTAGAATTGTTAATGGACAAGACTACGTCCCAGCATTTCTGCCTGTCCTCTGTTCTTTAGGAGAGACTATGAATTTTAATTATTTAACAGTTTGCCCATTTCTCAGCAACAATACTGATTCTTCAATCATTGACTTCACATGAAGGCTACTTAGTACTGGATTTCTAGAAATAAAATGACTTATGCAGCCAGCTCAACGACATAGGATAATATAAAAAAATAAAACATATTTTCATACATAGTAAAAGATTCTTGTAATAACCAGTTTTATTAGCCAGGGAATTAAATCTTCAGGGGTCTGTCTAGGTTTTTCTNTAATGAGCTAATTAGCTTAGTAATTTATTTAAAATGCATGCATATATTAATAAAATAATAAATGTATGTTTTTAAGTGTGTGTAGTTATGATTTAATAATTAAAATGATTAATAATAATTATGATTTAATGATAGTGGAAGTAACTGCAAACTTTCAAGGACAAGTGCAACAAGGGGAAATGATGGCTATTTTTCCTTTCTCATATAAATCTATGTATTGACAGCAATGACAAACTAATAAAAAGAGTTGAAAATAGCAAAAGTTAAAGAAATCCATTGTAGAGTTTTGGGGGAAAATAAAGAAGGGTTGAGGAAAGAAAGGGCAAAAAGGGTATGGGGTCTATTACATCAGCACACTAATTTACTTCAGGGGCAACAGGGTGGATTATTTTGACTAAAAGGGCAGCAGGGTGCTGCGCCCTTTTTACCCTGCCTAAAATGAGCTCTGAGATTTACTCTACAAATTTTAGAATTGTTAATGGACAAGACTACGTCCCGGCATTTCTGCCTGTCCTCTGTTCCTTAGGAGAGACTATGAATTTTAATTATTTAACAGTTTGCCCATTTCTGCGCAACAATACTGATTCTTCAATCATTGACTTCACATGAAGGCTACTTAGTACTGGATTCCTAGAAATAAAATGACTGATGCAGCCAGCTCAACGACATAGGATAATATAAAAAAATAGAACATATTTTCATACATAGTAAAAGATTCTTGTTATAACCAGTTTTAATAGCCAGGGAATTAAGTCTTAATAATTTCAATGCTGACATGATGGTAGCAAGTGGTCAGCATTATTTCTCAAACAAGCTGGTTATCATTGAATTCATACCTCCATCATTTCTTTTAGAAATTAGTAGTCAGTATAAAAAATGTTGTAAAAAACATACAAAAATTAAATTACTAAAAAATATTTTTATTTTTGTTCTCACAATTCAAGTAAATCTTTAATAGTTTGACTTATATTTTAACATAATGAATTTAAATCAATAACATGTTTATCAACAAGTAATGAGAAGACTAAATTATTATCTATAACATAGTTTATTTAATTATTGAATAGTACAGAAAAAATTGACACTAAAATTTTTTAACACCATGAGTTTTATGTGTAATTATCCATTTACTTTTTTCATCGACTCTTTGACGTTGCTTATGTCTAGGATGTGTATTACAAAACACAAACCACCGGCCATCAAGTCTTCGAAAGTAGCAATCTTTACATCGCTTGGTCAGCACATCTTTGTCTTTAAAAGTACGAACTTGATTGATCATAGGAGTAAATAAATTTGGAGAAAATGAGACATCTTTGAGCAGATATTTTGTGCAGAGTGAAGTCAGTGGCCTTCTGTGAATTTGAAAGCCCATATTCATAAAGTTTTTAAAGATGTTTAATCTCTGCATCATTCAGGTTTTGGAAGTTTAGTTAAATTTCATACTTCTCAAAAGCTTTACCTAAAAATATATATAAATTGATTTTAAGATTCATTCAACAAATAACATTAAAACACATTAAGTATCAAAAAAGGTTGGAAGATCGATTATTTGTAAAATTTTTATTTTAATTGAAAATTTGCTCTTTAAAAATAGTTAAGTATAAGCTTAAAAAGTATAGTAGAAGTAACACATTGTTTGGTCACATTATCAAGTCGGCAGATAATTACTAGTTACGATAATAGTTCATAAATGAGGGAAATAAGTTTTAAATTCTATAATTTTAATAAATTTTTTCTACAAACCAAAGACTACAATCAGACTTTTATTTTGAAAGTCTATAATTTACTATTTCGATAATTAGAAGCGATTTTAAGAAAAGAAAAAAATTATGAAATAAAAAAGCGTTAAAAAAATATTTTCAAATTTAATATATCTAATTTATTAGATACTGCAAAATGTTTTGCAGAAACTTTTCTTTCTTTTTAAATTTTTAATAAGAAGATTGCTATGACTCATCACTAATAGATCGACAGTTCAAAAATTATAACAATTGAAAAACATTCAAATTACCTTGGAATAAACAAATATTAGTAAGAAAGTTTAAATTATAGGGTCACATTAAAATCAAACAATTGACAAAAAGACAGATTGAAAAACTGACAATAGAATCCCTAGTTTAATTCACAAAAACTTTAAATACTGAAAAATAGTTACTGAATGATCTCTTTATAAAAATCATTAAAAAATCTAAAACCTCAATATTATTCAATCTGTAGATTTAAAGTTGATTTTGATTAGTGCATTACAGATAGAAAATTCTTGGCCAGGTAGCTATTTTTCAACATTGTGAAACATATATATATATATTCAGGTTATTTTAAATGCACTTTTTATAGCTCGAAATATTTTGACTTCCTATGACGCTTTTAGCAGATAAAGTTTCCCTGTAGTATGAACTTCTAACTTTGATTAAAATTTTGAATATGAATTGATACTAATTCTTCAATATAAACTTACTGCCACCCTTTCAGCTGATAAAATTTAATGTAAAGTAATATTTATAGCTAAAACCTGCACGATTTTCTAACAAGTATAAATTTAAAAAAAAAGAACCTGATCAAAGGAAACATTGCTTGGAGTTGAAATATTCGTAGAATAAACACATTCTACATAATTCCTAATAATTGGTCTAAATACAAAGACATACAAAATAATCATTCACAAAACATTAGTTCATTTAATTAAATCAATGTTTTTAAGAAAGAAAATAAAAATTATAAATTTTACCTGAAAATAAAGTAGAAAACTTATTATTTACAAAATAGGTATGGCCGATTAATTTAAAATTGTTTTTTCTAAAGGTCATGCAGCTTTAATCTCACAATGAGTTTTAATTAAATATCTCTCAGACTAAAAATGGTTGAAACATTGATTGAATTCCCCAAAAATTAGAAGTAGCGAGTTTCATCAAAAAATTCTCCCACTTTCTATGTTATAAATTTAGTTTAAGTACAAAACTTAACTTGAAGTGCATAGCTGGAAATATTTTAAAGTATGATGAAAATTTTGGCAACAAAACAAACTGCGGCACGTTTGTTGACAAAAATGATGCCGCTATTTCACCATGTAAAAACATGTAAATTATAATTGACTGTGGAAAGTTAAAAAAAAAAAAGAGAAATTACCAGAGCAGTCAAGATGCAGGCAACGAAATTTTCAGTCTTTTCACATCGCATAAGATTAACAAATTTTCATTTTAGAGTAACCTGCGCACCAGTAACTCGATATTACAATGGTGAATACTTTTTAAGGAAAATTAAAACTAAACAAGATTTTATTTTTCTTTTCATATAATTCTTGTTTTAGTTTACAGAGAATAACGTGCTATTAATTTGTTTAAAATGTCACGACACTTTTTGCAGGTCTTTGATTCTTAAGAAATTTGTTTGCTAATATTTGTATTGACATTTTAATGCAATGAAACCATTTAATTTTAATTCTATGAAATTTATAGCTTGATTAAAAATTTTTAGTTATTGAAGTTAGTTGATATATATGAAAAAATAAATAGTTTTGAAAAATTAAAAAATTTTTATTTTTAAACATATGAACTCTCTTTAGGACCATCTTTACCCAAACTGGGGATATTACCTTATCGTGATCTCTCGCTCCAACTACAACCACCAAGGTGCCAAATAGATTTTAAACTTGCAAATTTAAAAAAAAAACAACACATGTAGATGTTTGCCCGAGGGTGGCTACGAGTTATACCTTTCGAGTTGGTCCCTTTGTGTGATGTTTTTTTAAAGTTTCTCACACGCCGCTACCCGGAAGTTTCCAAGACCTGGCGATAAGTCTGCCACAGATCACAATACGTATATCTCCCCTTTAGACTTATAAACTTTTCTATGTACTAGGAATGCACGACCTGCGGGTCGCATGTGGCACGCGAACCCCTAATGTGCGGCCCACTGCAGCAATCTGAACAAAATATTAAAAAAAAATCAGAAATTTTAAATTTACCGATCTAAGTTTTTGTAGCACCCAAATCTCAATCGTAGTTTTTTGATCTCTTTTTTTACAATGTTTAACGCTACAGAGAGTCATAGTTTAGAAAATCCCAATATTTTTAATATGTCATTATTACAATACAGGAATTTAAAATTTTAGTTATCACTTTTGATGCTTTTCCTGTGTGCCGATTTCATCGTAAATCCAATCACTAATAGGTAGTTATTGCTGCCCATTTTAGCATATTTACTGAAATCACAATTTTTTAGAGTTACAAAAAACGCTTTATTTGTGGAAACTTCATAGTAAATCTAAATGACTTTTGATCTTTTTTTAGGCAGTTATTGCCACACATTTATGCATAGTTTTTAAAATTTTGATATCTTAGCAGGATATTATTACAAATTGCGGATAAAGAATCGCTAATTTAACTAACTATTTTTTGACGTGCTTTATTTGTGTCGATTTTATCGCAAATCAAATTATTTATTATTCCTTATTTTGGTAATTATTGCTACACATTTCCACAAGGGTTTGAAAGTCCCGATGTTTTTATACGCTATTGCGACACTTTAATTTCGAATCTCGCATTTAAATACATCACTCTCTGACTCGATTTATTTACATCGATTTCATCATAAATATTAAGCACATAAATTTACATCATAATATTTATATTTACATCATAAATTACAAAACCCTGTTTCAAATACAACAGTGTAGTGAAACATTTTTTTTCCCTTTCCTCTCACTGGCCCGTAGAATAAATGCACAATCGACTTGGAAAAAAAGGAGGGAAAGTATTCCTTCTGTCGAAACTTTCACATTACTCTCTTTCATGCTGTTTTGGAAATGTAAAGTGCCAGATTAAAGTTTAGGAAATAAATGGTGGGGCAGTTACTGAAAAACCTGGCCTCTTCATCGACCTTCCAAACTTTTTAGTGGTTTAAATTCACCACTAGGGGTTAGACTTAGAGGTTGAGCAGCTCTAACGAGCAGGGCATATCGACCAGAGGTTGTACCCAAACCCTAAATCATGATTTGCATGAAAGCCCTATAGCTGAAATAAAATTCAGCAGACACCTTACAGGAACATTTTGCAGTTCCCAGGCATTGACGTAATGTTGCCCTAAATGCTCAAATCTTTGAGCAGAATAGACCTCACAACCATAGAGTATGTGTCGTGATGTCTCTTTTTCAAGATGACAACCCCGACAAAGAGAATTGGATTATATTCCCATCATGTATAGGTGTCTCCTGAGGATGCAGTGTCCAGTAAGAAGACCAATGATCTTCCTTAAACTGTTTCTATTAAGCTTTAAAAGCTCTTTTTGACATACAGTAGAACAGCCACGATTTAGCTCCTTAGCTTGTCTCTGACCGTCAGAAGTGCGCCATTGCTCATGGGCAATTTTGCCATAGAGCTTGAATATGGATGCTCTAAACAGTGGCGTAGTTTNAGAGTATGTGTCGTGATGTCTCTTCTTCAAGATGACAACCCCGACAAAGAGAATTGGATTCTATTCCCATCATGTATAGGTGTCTCCTGAAGATGCAGTGTCCAGTAAGAAGACCAATGATCTTCCTTAAACTGTTTCTATTAAGCTTTAAAAGCTCTTTTTGACATACGCTAGGACAGTCACGATTTTGCTCCTTAGCTTGTCTCTGACCGTCAGCAGCGCGCCATTGCTCATGGGCAATTTTCCCATAGAGCTTGAATATGGATGCCCTAAATGAGGTGGGAGAAATTCCCAGTTACTGAAAAACCTGACCTCTTCATTTTAATGAATCGACCTTCCAAACTTTTTAGTGGTTTAAATTCACCACTAGGGGTTACGGTTTAATGAATTTCCTCAGGTACAGTACCTATGACATTGGAGTTGCTTTCTAAAGAAATAACCTTAAAGTCCTAGTTCTTTCAATTTTTTCATTCAAAATGTGTCGTATATATATTTATTTTTATTGCAGTAGCATGCTTTGGAGAAAGACTCCAGTCGAAGACATTCTTTGGCTTTCGTCAGACTTCATGTTCAGTTAAAATAGAATCTCCTTTACTTGTATCTTATGCTGGAAATAGAAGATTATCAAGTTCTCCTGCTAAGAATGACAAAGGTGATGTACAGGAAACTGAAGAGCCTATTGAGAAACTTTCATTATTTAAACGATACGAAAAGATGTTCAAAGAATATTGGTATGTGTTGTTGCCCGTCCATTTCGTCACTTCAGCTGTGTGGTTTGGAAGCTTTTATTATGCATCAACATGGTAATAATTTCTTTGAAAACATTTTGTTATTAGTTGTTTGCAGAAAGAATATCATTGCAAGCTTCTCAAAAACAGCTTTTTTTTTTCTAAGTGACTCTATTGATTACATAATAAATTAAAACATTTTTATTTTTGCATTACTTTGCATACGTGGATCTGAATTTAAAATAGTTAATAAAAAACTGGACACCCAGTGGCTGAGCGGCAGCGGTTCGCTCTGTCGTGCCACAGGTCCCTGGCTCGATCCTCGGGCCGGGAAAGGTTGACTCGGCCGTTCATCCCTTCAGTGGGTCGATAAATGAGTACCAAGCATGCTTGGGAACTAAACACTTGGGGTTCCGCATTTGGCTGACCACCTGACCGGAGCATCTGCTCCTGCAACCCAGAGCCCAAGGTCAAGAAAACTGAGATTGGCACAGTAGGCCTTGGCTCTCTATGGGCTGTCACTCCACTGAGTTTAGTTTTTAATAAAAAACTGACCACTAATGGTCAGGCAAAACGAAATACTTATTTGATTATTATTGTAATGCTTTTTTTTAAACTTTTAAATACATTTATAATATGACATCTATGTGTTTAAAATAATAAAACCAGCTTGCATGATTTTATTATGTATTTTGCGTTTTATTTAAATGTAAGGTATTTTGACTTTTAATTTCATTTGTATATGTTCTTTTTTAGTAGTATTTTTTAAATGTTGTTAAATCTTAATATCACAAATTTAAAAATAAAATTAGAAACAAGCCTATTTAAAAAAATTTGGAATTTAAATAGTTTGTTTAAATTTTTATTATTTTAGTCAGCTTAACAGATTTGTTTGCATTTTAAAAATGGTGTGTCACATATTTACTTTGAAGGAAAAAGTAATAAATTAAAATTTTTTATAATATGTACTTACATTTAAACAAAATACTCCAATATTGTCTATAAACTTTTACTTCTTTAGACTACATAATTTCCAAAATTTACTTAGGTTTAAATTGAATGCATACAGTGGTTTAAATTGAATGCATACAGTGAATTTTCTATGAACAAGAATGAAACAGTACTTTTTTTATTTGACATTTCTGGTAATTCTCTCATTTTCTGATAATTGATGACATTTTCTTAGAACTATTGTTTTCATTCTAACAAACATGATTATGACCCCAGTTTTTATCAAATTTACCTATAATAAGTTTAGCAGCATCCTGTGAACCTAATGTTGTTTTCATTCATTGCATGTAGTTATTATAGTTTTTAAATTGATTAAATAATAAATATAGAGTTTCAAGCATTGCCACAAAGCTCTGTTCTTCTCTTAAAAATTCCTAGTAATTATATATATAGTAGTTTTAATTCATCATCATCCGTCATCCTCGAAACCACCTACCTCAGTGTTAAAAGGTGCCAGTCTGTCCAGAAGGGAAAAGTTCGGAATATGATATTAGCTTACTATATTCTATAGAACAATCTAATTATAGCAATCAGTCTTTGTTCTGCTATCAATTTTGCTTTGTGAAATATATATATATATATATATCCTTTCTATATATTTTTAATATCCTTTTCTATAAGGATGACAACATAATAAATTTTCTATGCTTTTATTGAGAAAAGAATAAAGAAATCCATTTACAATTTATATACAATTGGAGCAGAGCTCCGAGACACATCTTTATCCTTCCATTTCCAAAAGATAGTGTACACTTTCTTAACGTAACATATGTTCATGTCATGTGATCTATAAAATCCAGATGTTAGAACCGGCGTCGTAAGATCTTAAGACCAGATGGAGATGAATTAAAATCTCAACATAGTCTTGATTTTAATGGGAATTCGGCTTCTTTAAGATATTTTACTGCGCGGTATGGACTAATTTTATAAATAAAGATTTCATCACTATTCCTTGAAACTTAAGATATACGCGAAGAGCTAAGTTAAGTAGGTGAAAGTGAAATTTAATGTTCTTATAAACCAGATAAGCTTATCTAAAGATAACATATAATTCTTTTTAAGTTTAGTCTCAAAAGATCCTTTTAATTTTATTAAGCTAGTATTTTAAATATTACATATATATGAAAACTTGCAACAAAAACTACATTAGTTATAAACATACATTAGTGTAGTTCAGACTTAATATAAAAAAAAATTTTTTTTTAAAAATATATTAGTGGTTAAAGTTATTTCTAAAAAGCTTATTTCATCCTTACAGATATTAATACTATGGGAGCTGTACCTTTCTCATTCGACTTTCTCTTGATTTTATGATTATGTTCTCAAATGTGAATACCATTGAAATATCTGAAAAAAATTAATAATAAATCATCTTTGTTTCCCCTTTAGTTGGAAAATACAATTTTCAAATTATTTTTCTCTTTTTCATCTTTCAATTATGTTTTTAAAGTGTAATATAGATTTAAATTTTTTATGATGTAAACTATTCTTCTAGATTCAATAAGTACACTACCAGTTGTGCTCCTTTACTGGAAAGTGTTACTTCCATTTCATTTGTTTATTTTTTCTCTTGTTTAGCGGGCAAAGATTAGTCGTTAAATTTAATTTTAAAGAAGTATTTAAGTAGAGACTTTCAAGAAAATATTTTAAAATCCCCAGTTTTTGAACTTTTTTCCATAGTTAGGGAAACTTTTTCACTGTATTGAAGGTTAGAAAGAAACAAATTTGGTAAAAAAAGATTTTTTTAATACATATTAACAGAATATGAAATGTGAAGTCATGTGGTGAAATGTGGAATTCAGATTGTTTACTATTATTAAAGTTTGACTTGGGAAGGATAAACTTTAGTTGAGTTCAGACTTGGTATTCAGGTTGCTCAAATTCATCGCATTTGGTCTTTTCCAGCTCTAAAGGAAAGACAATGTGTAACCCAAATCTGGCATTTTTTAAGCAACAAGTAATTAATGGTTCCTTTTAAAATTATGGATCACGGAAGCCTGGTGATTACCATTACCTGTCCTTCTAAATTGTTCTTTCTAAAAAAAAGTTAAAGTATGTTTGATTAATCTCAGTGAAAATAATCTTTTACTTGCTAAATATTTTTATTATCTCATTTCAAAATCAGTTTATGGAAGGATATTTAAGAGACTTAGAAACCTTTCTGTGCAGAACTGCAATTCAATTTCAATTTGTCACTTTTGTTGAAAAAAAAAGATGTTTTTTTAAGACTCAAGTTTTTAATAGTGCAGAGAAATTTAAATAAAAAAAATTAATGACTCTTAAGTACAGGTTCGCAAAAAAGCTGGCTTTTTCAGAAAAATGTCATGTCAGCCAGTTTTAATTAAAAATACTGGTTTTTATTTAAAAAAGCTGCCTTTATTGGCTTTTAACATTTTATATTTTATTATATGAAATTAACATGTATGCATTAAAATTTATTTTATTGATGACTCTTAAGTAAATAATATGCACAAAATATATGTTATTTTATAAATTGTACTTTCTCTTAAAGGTATTTATTCCATAAATCGATTAAGTATTATTTGATTTTAATTATTTAATTTCTGTTTTAATTATTTAATTGCTTCAAAACCAGATATTTTTGTCTGAAATTGCTCCAAACCAATTTGGATCATGTTCTAATTCATCTTAGTTCTGCCTTAAATAATATTTTTTTTTAATTTTAAGATAAAGTTCCCATAAATTAGGCATTTTCTATATAACTGTATGTGATTTGCTTGAAATAATGTATTTTGTTCAAAAAGAGGGACAATTGATTTTATAGCTAATTTTATATTATTCATATATTCATTTTGCATAAAAAAAAGTTGATTTCTAATACTATTTTCATGTAGTTTAAAATTATTGTTCTTAACACCTGTAAGGTTAAAGCGATTGTTTCAAACTTGTTTAGAAAGTTAATTAACATCAAAAAAATTTGTTGCTTTTTTTTGGCATGGCTAGAATCTTACAACCCTGCTTAGGTAACAATATGTGATGGAATATTTTGAAAATGCTGAAAATTTTGGGTTTTTGAAAACATGTTATATCCAATTTTAAGTATTGAACATTGCTTTTTTCTCCCAAAATTTTTAATTATGACAGTTTTTTTTGTGGGAAAAGATGTTTTGTAAACAGCTTTCTTCTGTTATTTTTTAATTGGCATCTTGCTATATAAGTTAAGCTGAAATTGGACAATTATCTAATTTCTGATCTTTTTCTATATTTTGAGCTTCTTAAGAGGCTTGTTTATGCACCATATTGATTATTATTTCTTTCTTTTTAGTGGCCTTGATATTATACCATTTCTAGAATATGTAAATCTGCCTGATGTATTGATAGCTCCTCTACGTAATTCTTCTCTTGGACACATTGCTGTTGCATCTGCTTTGTATAAACTGGCTACCCCTGCCAGATACATGGTTACTGTTGGAGGATCAACTTTTGCTGTTAACTTTTTAAAAAGGCGTGGACTAATTAAGCCAGTGCCAACAAAAGCTGAGATAAAAACAATGATACAAAAGAAACTTAAAAAGGATGGAGCTTCAGAGGATAATTGATGTAGTATATATTTATTATTATTGATAAAAATTTTGTACAATAGACAAGTGTTTCTCATTTACTTATTGGATATTTGGCTATTATTATTCTTGAATTATTATTTTTTTTTTTAAGTATTGCATTGTTTTATACAGTTCCGTCTTGTTGTTAGTATTGAATACATCACCATACAAAACTCTTATAATTAAGTTTTAAAAAAATAGAAAAATTAACCTGAGAACAACTCTTATTTGACACCCCTCCTTTTTTGCAACTATATATTTCAATGTGCTTGGCTTGTAACTCAATGAAATACTAATCATAGTTTTGGATTGTTGAATCCCTAAAACATGAATTGTAATATCGTTTTTTAAAATAACAGTTTAATTATAAAATTTGCCATGCCCCATGTGTTGTTAAAATAAAAATCTTTCTAATCACCTTTTTATAATCAACTCTTTTATTTGTATTTTGTTTCCTGTGAGGGGGAATAAAATGAAAGATTACTGTAATTTTAACTTATGATCATGCTCTGTATTTTTATTAATTTTCCTAACTGTTCAATGTTTGTATACTAAGGAAACATTTTAAATATTGTATTCCCATTCCACAGTGATTTGGGTTTTCTGACATACCCCTGTTTCCACAGATGTCATCCTGTTTATTTGTTAATTTATTTTACAAAATCCAAACTATTAACTAATAACCAGTGGTTCAGAATATCATCAAGCAAATGAGATTCAGGTGGTCATGGAGAAATTTTTGGCCTAATTAAAACGAAAGTTATGAAAATTTTATTGCAAAATAAATGTTGGGTTTTAAAAAGAAATTTCCGCTGTAAAAAAAAAAGGAAAAAAACGAGAAACTACTGAAAAAAAATTGAATCAAGTCAATAAAATCCATATATATTTTTACTGTAATATGTCAGGGAAATTATTGCTGATTTGAGTTTTACTTCCTGGCATGCATAATTTGTGACGATTTAATCATAATTTCATGTGGAGTTTTGATGGGGTTTTTTTGCCACAAATTTGTTTTTTATATCCAGATATTTTTCATACACTTTATTATGACACTTGAAATTTACATTGCTTGGTTATTAACATTTTTATGTGACAATTCCATTGTTTTTACAATAAATTTTTTGGTATCACCCCAGATTTGCACACTTTTTAATGTCAATATATTTCCTGTGATGTAATATATATTCTGTTATATATTGACAGCAATTCCGCTTACTTTCTATGGCCCGTCTAATATTCTCCAGCGCAAAAGTAAATAAATAAGTAAAATATAGAACAATTAGTGCACCTACAGATTTATGTATTCAAAATTGAACTTAACTTTTTTTAATGTTTATAAAAGAAGAAAATAAAAATAACTTTATGCTGAATTAATGTAAGAATTCGATTTTAATTCTTCACTGAATTGAATGAATAATCAATTTTTTCCCTAATCATAGAATGTTTATTTTTTATGTCTCTCTTTAAAGTGGAAATTTGTATTATTTTAAACAGGAACTCGCTTTCGTGAAAAAGTACTCTAAAATTTGAAAGTTTTGGGTTCTAAGGGCCTATAGTATCTAGCAGAATCATTGTGTTTATGAGAAGAAAAAAATATTAGATACAAAACATTTTTTATTTCTCTCTTTAAATTTTATGAATGTTATTTTTTTATATAAAAATAATAGTCTATTTTTTGATATTTTATTTTTTCCTTTAATTCAACAAAAATCTGTATGGAAAGAAATTAGTATATTATAAAAACTGCCCATAGAGAAGAAAATTTTTGTTAGAAAACAAAACTATATAACTATTAAGTTTCTAAAAATTTTCAAATAATTTCTTGTTTCAGAAACCGTTTGTGTATTAAACATTAGTTGATAAAATATCATTTTTATTGAATAATATATACATTAGTGTATAAAATATATTTTATTTATAGCACATATATAGAAGACTGTCACTTATTGATGATAAATAAGCATTTATTTTAAACCATTTGAGAATGTTTCTGTGCTTTTTATTTTAACCAAACCGAGTTAGATTACGTGACTTCTTAACTTTTTTTAAATCTTGTTGCTAAATTAAAAGTGTCATATTTGGACAAATAAGTCATAAGAAAGATTGAAAAATAAGTAATAATTTAAGCATTAAAATAAGCATTTAAAAGTTTTTTTTAGCATATATTTATAATATATATTTTAATTCATGATGCTATATCATCATATTGTGTAAAAAAAGTGTTTTCTGTTATGTTAAATGTGTCACAAACAACTTTATGTGTCTATTTGTTTCTTTATTAGTTTGAATTTCTTAAGTTTTTGAGTGGGATTTTAAAATAAGGTTTTACTGTTTCAATATATTTTGATTTTTATTAATTTTAACATATATGCCAATTTATCAAGAATGTGTAAAAAAGAAAAAGGAATTTCTTTTTTTTTAAATCCAATTAATTATTAACAAATTATATTAACAATGCACAAATTTTTTTGAAGAATATATTAAGACAGTTATTGTAAATAAAGAAAAAAATGGTAGTAATTTTGGTTAAATTTTAAACCTAAATTAAAAAGTGACATTCTGGGGATTATTAGGCTGAGAATTGTCTGCATCTCTGCTAATAACTATGAAAGCAACCATTGATTTTTTTCTTCTGCATATTTTAAATTTTGCTCTTCACCATTACTTATTACACATAATATGATTCATATCATCTTTATATAAAATGACATCTAAAACTTTATTTATCAGTTACAAAAAAATATTTTTCTATTTATAATTTTGAAGGAATTGATTGAATAGGAATTAGTTGCAGGCAAATAATTAATGGTTTTTAATTCTAAAGATCTTACCAATATATTGTTTAGCAAATGGTTTATTTCTCTGCAAATTTCTAATGTCTTTCTTTTTTTGCTGTTATTTATCAGTTTTATTCTTTGTACAATTGTAAAAATTCTATTCTCCCCCTCCCCCTAAATATTTAATTTCACAGCTTTTTAGCTATAACTTAATTAATGTATCTATTCAGAAAGGGTAATTTAGGAGGGCAATTACTGAATCATTTTTGTTGCATAGTTAAGTTTTAAAATATTATCTATTATCTATTTTTTAAAGTATTTTTGATATGCGTTACTAGTTTTAAAATTTATTCTAATGTAAACTCAGTTATTTAAAATCTAGACTATTAATAAAAGCTCTAGTTTTAAAATACAGCAAATTGTTATGGAAATTATGCAATTTGCAAAATCGAAAATAAGTTGAACATAGTTTTAAGATTTAAATTTATTAACAATAAAATGGGCAGAACTTGACATCCAATGATTAAAATAAAGAGGCACTTTAGTGACATAGCTATTTAGATGTCAACTGCATCTCTGGTAGACTATTGTACTTTGTGAAATTGGTGCTAGCGCCCACTCAAAATACTGGTATGAGCATGCAACAAGGTGCACATTAAATTGGTTGTGATTAAAAATCCTCCAGTTAGCATACACTGGGAGTTCGGAGAAAGTGGTATCAGCTAAGGCACTATCCAAGGTATCTGATAGGAATTAAAATTTCGTACTAATAAAACGTAAGAGGCTGAAAAAATGGGGTTAGATATTTGACCATGGTTGAGTGGTATTTGTTACCATAAAATCAGTTTTCTTAGTAATCTTTTATATAAAAAACATTTAAAATAGAACAGGGCTCCCACAGGTCAGGGAAAACCGGGAAATCCTTGAATTATCTGGGAATTTCTTTTCAGGGAACTCTATGAAACAGTGAATAGTCAGGGAAAATTGAAGTTATTACAAAAAATTTTGGAAAATTCCTACATCAGCATACCTGAAAAATAACCAGTCTCAGAATTGTCAGTAACACTAATCAGTTGTTGAGATTCGAGTTAAATAATTCTAACATCTATTAAAGTTATTTGTTGTAAAAATTTCACATTTTATTGAAACTTAAGTGCTTCTATCCTCGTTCAATGATATTTCTTTCCTCACAAAATCCAGTATTTAACATTACAAATAAAAAATAAAAGTTTTTTGATGAAAAATTGGATGGTATAGATAAAGTATAGCCTGATTTTTCATTGAAATTTTCCTGATATACCTGAAAAAGTCAGGGATTTTTCTATCTATTATTATTATTATTTTGAAATTGAATGAGAACCTTGTAGAAGCTTTATTTTCATGAAGTTGATCAGTTACCATTACAATTTTGCTTTTGAAATTTCCATTTAATTTTTAAAAATGCTATAAGAACTTGTTAATTTTTTTTTAATGAGATTATTTAGTAATACAAAACAGTCAATATTTAATAATGCTTTACAGTTTCGTATTCATTAAATTAATTGCTTATGCTGACTGGAAATTTTTTTCCCACGCAGTTTATTATTAAAGCTAATAAATTTACTTACTGTTTGAAAATACTGATTTGATATTGTAGAACTGTTAATAAATTAGTTTTTTAGTTTTCATTCTTTAATTTGAAATAATAATCATAGGAAAATACCTTTAAATAAGGGACAAAAAAATATTTCCCAGTAAAATAATATCTTTATGACTCTTATTAATTTTATGTTCATTATAATTCAAGAGACTGATTGTTTCAATTGAAGAACTCAATCTTTGTTATTATTATATTTTCACTGATCACATATAGGATGTAGCGAATAGTGATTTAGCCAAATAGCAACAATTCTTTTTTTTTTTAAATCATTAATAAATATTATTTTTTATATATAAATAAGTTTAGTCATTGTTGAAAATTAATCAAAACTTAACCATATTATTGATATGGGATGAAGGGGAAAGATATAATAGTTATTCATTAGAAATATTTAAGATAAATAAAAAACTGACTGACAGCTATAAAAAAAACTTAAGTTATAAAGTTGAAAAAAAATAAATCATGAAAATAGTACTATTAGTTCTTTAAACAAAACTTTAATGCAAAAAATAATATTTTCAGGAAAAAAAAGTATCCATAAACGTTAAGAGAAAATAATCTATCAAAAACGTTTTTAAAAATTCCATGCTATCATAAGAATACCCATAAAAACAAAAGATTATA